CCAATTCGATAGCGTTATTTCCGCGATCTCATCGCGATCTCCGATTAGTACCTAGTAAATCCAGCTTTTTCCCACGTTTACATCAGTTGTATGAACAAAAGGAGAAACCATGAATTCCGCTCGGGTGTATCAGTACGGTAAATAGTGGGCAACGTTTGATTCTGTCGTCGACTAAACTGGGCTTCGTTCCTATCAAGAATTTTTTCCACATTTTTCCACAGAAAGACCACTTTTTTTCTGCTACCTCCAACTACTTTTTCCCGTATTCTAGAATTTTTTTGGATGGAATTATTTATGTTTCAAAACGTAGCTCTCGTTTGAACACACCGTGGACAAAGCTTCGCAAGTTTATGCATCCTCAGCACGCGAAAGGCCTTGCTCACCCTTCTCATTTTTTTCACTGACCTCCGGGCTTTTGTTAAATCGAGTGTTACGAACCTGCGAGGAAAATGCCGCCCATCACGAGGACGTCCCGCCCACCGTAGGCTCGTGGCGCCCCCTTCACCGTGTGAAGACCTCGCCCCGTGTGGGCGGAGCTCTGCCGTGATCTTACGCTATGCCTAACCCATCCCAAGCTTGGCCCACTTCTCCAGCCACTTCCGCATGTAATGTCGGACTTCTGTACAAACAAACAAACAAGTAAATAAGCAGACGCGGACGCACAATAAACATAAGTATTACATCACTCATCATCTCGTAATCATGGACGGCAGTATTTGAGCGCATCACTCCGTTTTGGTAGACATATATATGATGGTATGCGTCGTATACACGGCGGGTTTAGGATGTGTGTATTGATATTGTAATGTCGTAGGCGTAGAATAAAATATGTTGTCCGCGATGTTCTAAGTCTATTGTCTCTGTCCACCGTCACCGTTTTAGGACGTTTTCGTTCTGAATTCTCCATTATATAGAAGGAAAATTCTCGTGCAACTTTTTTTTTGACGAGCACTCATTTTTTTTTGTTTAACGACCTTTGCTAACGCGAAGTATTCTGATATCAGGTAAAAATGTAGTTGGGGGTGCCAGCGGCCTTCCGTCTAGTTGCTCTGCGTCTCTGACCCAGACGGCAGAGTACCCAGAAACCACACTGGAGCGCGGATACGCGTGGAGCCTCTTAATAGTGATAGGGAATGTATTTTTTAACAAGGGGAAGAGCTCCGGGGTGGGTGAGAAGTAAACGTAACGCAAGGACAAGAGAAAGTTGCGATAAAGAAAAGAGTGGAATGGGTTAAACTTGAGGAGTTTGACTGCAATAAGTCGATTGCGCACCCCGGGCACCTCCTATTTTTAAGGAATACGCTCCCTATCACTATTAGGAGGCCATATCCACGCTCCAGTGTGGTCTCTGGGTACTCTGCCGCTTGGGTCAGAGACGCAGAGCAACGAGACGGAAAGGCGCTGGCACCCCCCAACTACATTTTCACCTGATATAACCTTCTTTCTATCCTTGCTCCATCATATTTCATTGTTCAGCTCTTACTTCATTTAGCTGTCTGTCTGTAAAGCCAATTATTCACTTGCGACAATATCACCTCACATCATAGGCACAATCAACTTGAAATTTCAATGTTTTAGCAAATGAAATGCATATACATATCCCTTACTTGGTGTTCGTTTGATCCGAAAAGCCGTTCTGTGATGAGCTGTTCTCAAATGGCGCATATTGATAGGAAAAACATTTTTAGTTTTTTTGGCAGTTTTACAAACAAACTTTCGTTGTATTTGTTCCGCGAAAATTACAGTATTCATTTTTCGTTAAACATATGCCATTCGATTATATGGGACGCGGAAGTGGCCCCAGATCATGTCGCTGTGGAAAAACTTGTACTTACTTTTAGCATTTCTCCCTTCTTCGGAACTGCACTTATTTAGAGTTGGGTACCACTTCCATAACTGGTAACAATAGGGCAAAACTCAATAAAACCCGTAATTTGGGTTCCCAGCAAGGTGATGGACAACCTTCTGTCAATTAGGGTAACAAGACTGTTCGAAAATCAGCAGTCACACAAAAGTGAAGAAACTTTTTTGTTGTATTATTATCGTGGATTTTGATTTTCAAACATATTTTTCATATCCAGCTTCTTCTCTTACAATACTGAAGAGTGACTCCCTTTTGAGAACCAGTCATAGATTGATTTTACCAAGAAGGTTCTGGATATGTGATAATCGGAGGCTTGGATTAACTTCTGTCTAAAAAATCGACCTCGCAAATGTGAAAGTAAAATAAGACTGGCATTATTTATGATTGAATACTTTTCAGATTACTAGCACATCACTTACTACTTATTACTGATTAATCCAATATAAGCGAATGGACAGGAAAACACCATGTAGCCTTCCTTCGTCGTCGGGGCGAAGGCCAGTGGCACCGATATCAAGGCGAAGTCGAATAACGAGTGCTCCTCAGTCAGCAGATCCACCTCGGAAGCCACCAAGGTAAACCTCGTTTCGAGAAAGCAGCCATTCACTTTCTTTCAAACATTTTTGTTGTTGTTGCTTAACATTTTTTACCCTCGTCAGTGCAGGCCCTCCATTAGCATACTTCCTCAAAGACTTGACTAAAGTTGTTCTCGTGTCTCTTTTCCTTCCTCTTTACTGCCACAGTTCAAGGAAGCCAGTTTTTGGATGAATTTTTGTTTTCACTCGTAAATTCGGTATATACTCTCCAAGTTCATGGACTTTTTGGGCGGGAGTCCGAATTGTGAGTACAGGCTGAAACATTTTTTGTTTAATTTTTTATCTCTTTATGTCCTCAATGTTTTCCTTGATTTTTCTACTGCATCACGTTATGTTAATCTTTTAGAATAATGTGCTCTATCCTTAGCCTGTCAAGCTGTTATTATAATGAAAACTTACCAATTATTAATAGCTGAACAATTATTAAGAGTTCCCTTTCAGACATTATGCACATAGGAGTCACTGACGGATATATTGGATGAACAATAAAGGCATAGATTTCGTGAAGGGGCATCATGAATTACAGCTGTAAGAACGTGAATAAATTAAAACTGAAAGCTTAATCTATTGAGCGAAGCAGTAAATGCATTGTGATGAACATAACCAATATTTATATCTTACTCGAAAAGTACAGGCAAGTAGCAGGGTTTCCCACGGGATCCCCACCACTGGATTTCCACATCCATCACCTCTCTTTTTCTGTGCTGCGCTTGAGTGAACATTGAGCACGCTTTTACGTAGCGGCTAAATTTGCTTCATATGTCATCTCGGACATTCCATCTTTTAGCGGCATTGTAGCGACTTTCCAGGCGAAGTCATCTTTCGTACGGCTGTCTCTTACAGGTACTTTACAGAAACTTGATCTTGCTGTTCAAATGACTATGTATCTACTCACTGCGGTTACATAATTCGCGTGCGGTGGTCCATAGCATGAGTGTAATTAGAAGTATGGATTCAAATTATTCGAGAAGGATACCTTGAAATTCCAATGACAAGGGTTGGTGGTAGGAATTTCGAAAAATGCTTTCATTCCAATTTCTCGTTCAACGTCAAAGCTAAAAATTTTCGCTATTCATGTTTTTCATAATCAAGGCATTGTTTTCTATCTTGTGATCTCAAAACGTGTCCTGGCACTATTTATGAAATTAGATTTGTGAGAGACTTGCTACGTAGCCTTTAGTGTTATGTGCGGCTAATTTGTAGAAATGAAGTAGTGACTCCTTTCAGGAGTATTATTTCCGAAGTCTTTTGATTGGTAATTTATCATTGAATTCTCTCGATTTCGTAAGAGTATGGCAATAGGTTCCAGTCATGAACAACAACGTAGCGTCCACCGAAAGAGCTTGTTCTGACGCTTTCCTAATTCTACCTCAATTTAACTCTTACACTCACTCTACACTTATATTGCTACACTTTAGCTTTGATTCTTTTCTCTGATGCTTACACATTCCTGGAAGACTTTCCTGTCTCCACTGATCGAAACCATTCGTACAGCATAGCATATTTCGTCGCCAGAATGGTTTGTTTGCACATGAATGACTGTAATTTATAGTATTGGTGTTATATGTTATACAGCTACCTCTTCTGAGTCAGAAAGCATCCTTCCTACATGATTTCGAACCTAATTGCAGGAAGCGGTGACCTTAAAAAGTAGCCAGATTGCTGGCTGAGACATTAATTGCATTGGTTTGAATAGTATTGCTTGTAATCGGCATAATAGTCCTAATGGGGTAGTTTTGCAGAATTACTCATTTTTAGTATAATTCTCTGAATTGGCCTAAGGTCAACCAACCGGTCCTACAGTGGCAAAAGCGTGGAACTCGGTGACGCGCAGGCTGTGAATAATGTGTCGACAAATTTGAATTGTTGAACGAGCTCCGTACTAGAATCCTGTGGGCAACTTTTTGATGGCGAATATGATTCAACTCTGACGACAGCTGGTTATTTATCATGGGAATCTTTATTTCGTTCACTAAAAATTTTTGTATGATGCCAGTAAACTGATGTAAATTTGAATGGACCACTTTTTTTACGTTGACAGCTGTCCGCTGGTTTTCGTAGCCTTTTATCTTTGACATTTATGGCATGATATTAGCTTTTCTTTTATACAGAGCTCTTTAGTTTTAAACTCGCAAAGAATTCAAAGATATTAGTATAGGACATTTGTATAGGACGCTGTTATCTCTTTTTTCAAATGTCCACTACGGATTTCGGAGATAGTTTATACATCTCTTCGTGTAGCTTTTCGGATCTCACTTCTAGCGCGAGAGTCATGACGATCGACTCTTCTACCGAAAGCTCGAATGATTATGTTGGGGGCTTCATGATTTTTGTGGGTAATTTCAAGTAGCTAAACATATTGACATGAGTTTGACTTCATAGCGCGCCATGTACTGGATGGCAATATAAACGAAAACACACTCTAAAGACATCAATGGCAAAAATAAGGGGAAACCAAACATAAAATAACCAGGGCTGGCACCGGTTACCAAAGAATCAGGGCTTCTGGAAATTCCTCCCAGCTTTCTGAGTGCCCCTTATCAGGGAAGATTATAACTACTTCCAATATTGATCATTTTCAGCACTTCTTCTTCTAACTTTAGGTTAACAGCGATGAGTACGCGTCGACGAGCTACATCTGGATCTGCTCTACATCGTGCTCCAGCCAACTCAAAATCTGGGACCTTATGCAAACTTAGCCATCTGAATGTGGCTGTTCCAGCACCGGTAGGTGTAAGATTAATCTCTCCTCTTTTCGGATTATCGTTTATTCCTTACTTCCTACTCTTTTCTTTGTGTTTATTGATAGTATATAAATCGAAGTCGATTTCATCTTGATTTATCCACGGATCGGTCTTATGAAAATTGAAACTGAATCCTTGCTAGAATCGAATTCGCATACGAAATTATTTGAACGAGAGTTAAGGGTCAATCTATATCTGTGTTCCAATTTTAAGCAAAGGAAAGAGTTCGTTTTGGACCAGTTCTTGTGTTTTTATCCGTACGTTCCGAACTTTCCGTTGAGGTAATCTTCAAGTTCTTTTCGATTCCTTTTCGATTTTTCACTCAAATCTTGAAATCAATGAAAGTAGAGATTGAACGCGTAAAGATTCCAAAGCTTCCACATGGCTCATTGGAGCATTGGGTAATTTGTGCTAGTCTATTCTTATTTGTTGTCCTTGACTCGTGAAATCTGTAATCTGCCACATCGACTGTTTCCCACGACATGAAACTCATCGCCTAGATTTCTTCCTTGAAGGCAGCTGATTGTGGGAATGTATTGATGCAAGAAATCTCAAAAGAGATTTGCAATCGCTGGAATTCCTGGGATAAATCAAACGTTAAGGGCAAATTTTGATTATTGTAATATGTTCGCAGGCTATGTTCCTACTTCCTGATTTCACACGATGTCTGTGTGAACTCTGTCCGTCACAGAGATTTCAACCTTTTTTCAACGCAGTCTTGCAAAAAAAAATTCTGCTTTGGTGATTCTGCTTTTGAGCATTTGCGCATGTATTGGACACAATGGACGCTATTCCTAGTTGTATCCATTGATGCCGAACACTTCTCGATTCGAATCAGTTTCTGTTATCACATCGAGCATAGTTCTTGTAAGTAGAAGTAGTTATGCAGTGGTTTTTAGTGTTCCGTGGCTTTGGTGGAAAATTTACAAAACATAGGAATAAAGAAGTCATTCGCGTGAAGAATAGCATTTTGCATTTTCCTGTGGGCTGAGACCAAAGGATCCTAGAGAAGAAAGATTGTATTCGATCCCAATTTCGGCCGTGTCATCTGTCGCGGATATTGCCCAGATTTTACTATGTTGATTGTTTGCCGTATATCTCGGTCGGTAGCCGTTGAGTGCGTTTTAATCCCCATACGGCTGTATTACGGTAATCTTCTTATTGCGATATGCGTGTTTATACTATGTTGCTCCAAACCAGATTTCCATATCTGTTTATCTTTGAATTTGATGAACGGTTTAGAATTTCCCTACTTTAACAGCGAAACCAATTAGCGGACATCGAAATCGCAAAAAAGTGAAGGGAACGCATAGGATTCCCAGCATGAGATGAAAGTGGCAGTCGTAAAAAACTCTTTTGCCAATCAGGCCTGGAATGGAGCTGCTATTAAATACGCTGAATTTCTTCGCTGAAAGGACTTCAAGGCCAGTTGTCCCACTGATACTCCCCTAAGTGCAATTCGCTAAGTCATTGATGGTGTTGTACCCCTTACGTGGCCTCTTCTACAATTACATGAGGGTGACACGAGTGAAGGTCACAGCAAGAGAATACAGCTATAAAATTGCACGCGATTTGAGGAGGCAATTGAGTTCCTAACAGTATCCTTCCATGTCTTAGAGCTAGAATTGCCTTTTCTGCGAATCAGAAAAAAGATTATTCTGTGGGCCGTAGAATTGGACCGAAGTGCGAAATTATTTATCAGCATCTTTGAAGAAATATGATGAGTACTAGTGAAAAATGTGTGGAAGTAGAGCGATTCAAAGTGAACGAAGTCTTTGATGCCCTCTCAAAGAATCTTCTGGAATCATCCATCTTTTTTTTTTTGAAAATAGCTGGAAAGTAGGCAATACCAGATTATATTTGACAAATTTTCAAGTTCGTTCATTGTTTCTATTGGGGTTAAAGTAAAAGTGGAAGGGATGTGAATTAGCTCTCTAAACATTGCATTGAATTCAGGCCGAAATATGTTTTCTGGCATCAAGACTACCGGCTTGTCTATGGGAGAATCTACGAAATAACTGAGCAGGGGTCTTCGGATGTTTTTTCGGCCTTCAGAAAAAGTGCAGTATTCATTTTGCTCGAGGCTAAACGTGAGGCTAATGATAGTAAGATAAATAGGATTTAAATTTAGATTTAGTAAGATAAATAGGATTTAAATAGGATAGTAAGATAAATAGGAGTAAGATAAATAGGAATAGGAGAATGGGATTCGTCCGTCTTCAAAAGCACAGTTCACAATTCCGTGTGTTTTATGAACCTCGGCATAATTTTATTACTGAGTTTGTTGTTTTCTTGAACTTTTCACGAGATCCCTTTCAGGCTCTTAAGAAGGCGATTCCGCCGAAATGCAGCCTCATAAAGCATATTCACGAACCTTGTGAAGAGTTCAAGAAATAATAAGCACAGTTAATAATATTTTTGGTGCATCTAGTTCTATGTAGAGGACAGAAGTAATAGTAGAGACTCGGCGTATTTCGAGAAATTCTAGGTCCCAAAAAGGAACGAAATTCGTTTGGACGAGAGGATGACGACAGAAGTGAAGGGGAGAAATCTCAAAAAACATTTCTAACGTGTACTGCGCCTTTAAGGATGTGATGACTGAAAATCGTATTCATTTCCAAATATTGCGTCAGTTTTCAATTTCGCAAAGATTAAGCGCTCATGACAACAAAAACTCAGGACTCTGGTAGCTGCACGGTTGCCAACTAGTTGACCTTCTTCATCTTTCTGAATTGAATACGACGACTGAATACGAAAGTGTTCACTTTTCTGCTTGGAGTTAATAAACAAGGAAGATATTTTCTGACGTATCCAAATTCTGCGCTCTCGAACTCCTAGCAATCTCATCGTATCTCTGAGAACAGTGCAAACCACTTATTTCAAAAACCGTAAACCCCGTGAAAGTTATGCTTTGCGAGGAGTTCGCCAGAGCGGCAGCATTTTATTATTCTATTAGGTTGATGCGTAATTATTGACTTTTTCGCGGCTTCTTTTCTTTTGACAAAATTACACTTTTGAATTCGGGGTTTCTGTGAAAATAATCTTCTCGCTTTCCTCAGCAGAAATATGTCTAAAAAGTCATCTTCATATACGCCAAATTATGCTCTATTACTTCGAAGTGTTGGAAGGCGTCACACTCCTAACGTGATCTCAACGGCTTCTCGGCGATGGAGCAATCAATCAAAGCCGAATAAAGAATGGAATTTGCTTCTATGGTCGCCCTATTCACCAACAGAAACTCCTATGGATTATCACGTTGATCGCCCGTTGAAAAATTGGCTGACAAACAGGACTTTTGACGAAATGGATAACTCGATGGCCGATGTCGAGAGGTGAATTGCCTTCAAGAATCAAAACTTCTTCGCCTGTGGAATCCGACCACCTAGCAAATGGGAAGCAGTGCTTGACATAAATGGTGGATATGTTCCGGAGCAAATATTTGAACATGTCATTGCTGAATGTTTCTATCGTTTCTTCAAGTAAAATTTGCTGAAAAAAATCCGCAATAGTTATGCATCAACCTAATATTAAACTGATAGTGACCATTTCAAATCGACTTGGAATTGTGATTATATTTCCATTTTGAATACGCTTTCCCAGTCCTAGATTTTGAAGTCAGATCTATTTCCGGTAAAAGGGACAACAGTGACCTTGCGAGTGATTTCTTGGGAGACATCAAGATAATTACGGCATGGTACATTTCTTTTGCGAGGACAGAGAGTCCTTGCCTCTGAAGGCCCTTGAAATTCTGGATATAAAGAATTTTCATTGTCGTGGGTAAGATGCGAAGTTGTTTGGAGCTATTCGGAATATAAGCTTTCTTTTACACTTCTCGAATCACTTTTAGAGTGGTTCTATCGCATTGCTTGAATGATTTAGTACAACTTTCTTCCATGAATTCCTCTTGTAGGGGCTTGTCGAGGATTAAAAACTTCGAGAAAAGGATCTATGTGGGCATCTAATCTGCGGAGACTGAAGGAAGTGATGCTGACAGAAGGGACTCATGTTGACAGAATGAGTCTGATTCAGTGCTCGCTGGCACTGAATCAGACTCATTCTGTCAACATCACTTCGAAGCTGCTTTTCTAATTGAGGTGTGTGTGACTAGAAAAGTTGGATTGGCGGGAGATAGTTCTCGAGAAATGTTGCTCACGAGTACGGTACCTATTGAGCACTGTGTTCAAGGGTGTTTTAGTTAGTTAACGCCAAGCTCCCGTGATCCGGTAAACCTCTTCTGTCAGAATTTTCACGAACTTCAAAGGTCCAATCGCTTGCGAAATAGCTTCAGATGAACGGCGTCCGTTTTTTTTTCAATTCTATAAAAAGTCGTGGGTAGGGGTATTCTCAAAAACATCTCACTGGATTTTAGGTTGACGTATAGCTTAACTTCAGGCAATCCTGAAATCTAGGGCATGCTTTAATATTAGGTTGAGTCATAAGTCCTCGGAAAAAATGATAGTGAATGACTTCTAGAGATCATAACTCGGAAAAGAGGAGACGAAAATGGACGGGTGTGGGATTATTTAATAGAGTATGAAAAGCTCTTCAAAATATATGCTAACGAACACACCTAACTGTTTCCTTTCCTAGAACCATGCCTCATGATTTCAAGCCATCACAACTCCACCTCCGCAACACCATCCTATTTCTTTTTTATCTGGCCATGAACCCGTGGAGATCGATAGACATATTTATGAAGTTCACAAGAAGGGTGCTCCTGCTAGATGCACATTTCACAAGTGGCAC